TTAAGATTACTTTTGTTAAAACATACTGTGCATATGTTTCTACTCTTGTTTAAGGTAGCTTATTTAACAATGAAATGTAAATTTCTAGCCCTTGAAAGTTATTATTACATACTATTTAGGATAATAAGGAAATACAGATTAATAGTTAGCCACATATAACAATCAAACTGTTAGTCATGTTAGGTATGTTTTGAAGGTCAAACAGATGTATTTTAGATAGAAAGGTGGCCTTCAATCACTTCATAGATGTACAAAATATGGCATTTAAGATGTTTTAGTAGTATAAGGCTTTTCATGACAATGAGACACATCTCCTGGCTGCACCAATCTACTTCAGATGTGATGATGGACATCGAAGAACCTCTATAATGTAGTTTGTTTTTTGTGGCAAAAGTTAGACACTGGGTAAGAAACAGCCCTTGCCTTGACTGCTGATAGTATGTTGTCCAAATTGGACAAGCAGAACACAAAAGGAAACAACTGCTGAACTTTGCCAAGGCAAGGTGGAACAGTCCGTCAAAGTTCCTGCAACAGCCTTGTAAGAAACTTTTAATCACTCATAAGTAGCTTTTAGACATAAAGCAAAGAAAAACCAGCCTACAATTTACAATCCCAGAGAACCTAGACAACAATGAGGATGCTAAGAGTGAGATACATGGATCTAATATACATGGGAAGTAGAAAAGGCAAGATCTCCTGAGTGAATTGGAATCATGGAGACCATGGTAGATGGTTGAATGGGAGGGAAGAGAAAGGGAGAGGAGTGGAGAAAAACATATAGTTCAATAAAAACAATAAAAAATTAAAAATAAAGAGAAACATTGCATTGAAAAAATCCTCCCTTTCCTTCAGTCTGCACCCAACGCAGTAACTACAGAGATGCTTTCAAACAGATGTATTGGATCATCAGTTCATTTATTTTGTCAAAATTCCCACAAAGGTCTTCCATATTGCTTTAAGAATTATTATGATAGTTCAGTATACCACAACACACTAAGCTGTCCCTATGAACACAGTTAAAACTATATATATTACTTCCTCTCTAATACCACTACAGGCACACAACTTCTTCCCTCCTCCTTGAACACAGCAAGAGACAATCCCTCTGTGGACTGGCTATTCTGTGCCTAGTAAGCGCTGGACACAGCCAGCCTATGACTTGCTCCCTCAGCTGTTGGAGTTTGTTGAAATATGTTGCTTTCTCTTGAAGACTTTTTGTATAAGACAATTTTAAGTTGCTAAACACACAAATCTTATTATATTTTTCATAGTATGTGTAATGGTACAACCTTATATTTTCTTTATTGTAAATGCATACTGCTACAAAGTGTAACCAAGAAACCAAGGGTTTCTGCTTTATTCTAATGCCAAGGACAGTATTTGGCAGGTAGTAAGCAATGGATATGTGTTAAGTACATGTATAAGCAAGAATCACGCCCTCCATGTGACCTAGCAATGCTTTATGTAACTGATAAATTATATAATTCCCTCTTTCTGGAATTCTAATAAAAAATCTGGAATAAAAATTATTTTTAAAAAAGATTATATATACATACATATGTGTGTATATGTGTGTATAGTGTTTTGTATGCATGTTTGCCTATACACCAGAAGAGGGCATCAGATCTCTCTGTCTCTCTGTCTCTCTCTCTCTCTCTATATATATATATATAAATAAATATATATATATGGACATGCTGTCAATGCTCTTAACCTCTGAGCTATCTTTCCAGTCCTAAAACCACTTTATTTAATTATGTCTGTGTGTATGCGTGCAGGTGTTCATGGAATTTGGAGGGCTGGAGTAACAGGTGATTGTGAGATGCCCCACAGGGGTGCTAGGAACCAAAGGTACTCCACAAAAACGGCCTCACATACTCTTAACTGGAGCCATCTCTCCAGTCTCTCTGATAAGAAATGTTTTAAGTCTTAACTAGATAATATGAACCACAGAGTAAACATCTGCAGAAATTGGACTTTTTTGCAAAAGAAACAAAACAAGACAAAACAACCAACTTTTGCTTTTCCTTTACTAAAATGTCTCATATGGTTGCAAACTGTCACTTCTAGTCACCAGAGGCATTTCTTTTAAGAAACATGAGAAGAAAAAGGTGCTTCTTGTCACCCTTAAAAAACAATTAAACTGCAGTTTTAAAAATCAAAATAGAGAACCCAAGTCTATCATTTACTTTCCTATTACTGATAAAATCCCTGACAAGAGCAGGCTGAAAAAGAGGTTGTTTGCCAGAGGTGGTGGCACAGGCCTCTAATCCTAGCATTAGGGGGAGAGGGGCGCAGAGGCAGGAGCATCCACAGAGGAGAAGCGGAGTGGTGAAGGACTACGTGCAGTTTCTTTCCCACACTCACATGTCCCAGGCCCCAGGCAGGGAAGGACAGGACACACTGTGGGTGTCTTCCTACCGCAGTTAACAGGAGATAATTATATCCACAGACATCCCTTGAGGGCCGGCTCCCAGGTGATACTTGACCCTGTCAGGTGACCACACAGCAGGAGCAGGTGTGGTTTCAAAACACATAAACAACAGAGGCTAGAACAGAGTAAGCTGTGCACACTGAGAAAGGCAACCCTTCGAACAGAGGGGAGAATGGAACAGCTCTGCCATCCAAAGAAGAAAAGAAACGTTACTAGAAGCTTTGGGCACAAACTTTATGGGGGAAGTTGGGAGAATCCTCTTCGGGTTCTTTGTTTCATTAATGGAAGAATTTGAGAGTAGACAATTAGGAAGCTTGAGGGCATGTTATTAGTGTTTGAGAGAGTGGGGTGTAGAGGGCATGTTGACATTCAGGCGTTTACACTGACCTGCCCTCGGGGACCTAGCAGAACAGGTCAGGAGCAGCAGCCAAGATGTGACACCGACTATTGCAGCCGGTGCACATGCGCTATTTCCCCTATAAAGAGCAAACCCTTCTCACTCCTCTCTCCCCCTTCCATTTCTGCTCAGAGGCCACCTCTGCACCCCACTCCCAATAAACCGCCCACGTGAGTTTTGTCGCATGGTGTGGCTTTGTGTTGCCTTGGCTCCACCCCCAACGTTACCTTCTGAAGTCCAACTATAACGGGGAAGAGAGAAAGTGATGCCCTTTGAGTTAGGCGGGCATGTTCAGCAATGAGGTCAACAAGCAGCCACGTGGTAAAAGGGGAGGGTGGCTTTAGAGAGTGAGCAAGAAAAGTCCAAAACCTTGCTCAGAACAGACAGTATCAAAGTCGATGGAAAGGAGAAGGAAGCGAGCTGACTTAAAGGAGTGGGGACAGAAATGATGAAGCTAATGCCGTCCTCTCCTGACTCCACTTTGCGTTTGCTCAGACAGTTCTCTGCCCTCTACTCTCTTCTCCCAACAGTCATGACTGCTCAGCAACACGTGTGAGATTTCCATGGCCTTGAGCATGGTCCAGATGTCTTAGCCAGAATAATTGGCATGCTATGTCTAAAATCATTGCTGTGCTCTGCCGGGAACGAAAGTTTCAAGGTTACTCTGACCCTCGTCTAACTTGGTTTTTGTCTTTAAAAACTCGACATCACTGAGTTTGGGCACCAAGAAACTTTTAGAGGCATAAGTGTCTCTAGGTCTGGCCATCAATTAAAAAGAACTTAAAATTTTAATTATCTTAATTAGCAAGGTTGCCATAACTATCCCACGTGGATCATTACACAGTAGTGGCCGGGTAAGCGACTATACCGAGAACAGAGCTTTCATTAACGGGATAATTATTCCTCCCACATACTTATGCTTTAAGTTTTAATTACCGTGCTTGAGAGACCTGTAAAACAAAAATACCTCTAACCTGTGAGCCCCACTTGCCCAAGGACAGATAATGTCCTGGAATACTGGGAGCTGTTTATGTAAGATAACACGCCACCTGTTTTCATTTTGGAAAACAAGTTGGTTGTCCCACCTGCGCAGAATGTGCCTGGTCACATAAAGGCGGGAGGTGTAGGCAGACAGCATATCAAGGTGCATGCTTGTCCCTGATGGAACCTTTGGGTACTGCCTTTGTAAGTACCTAACTAAGGTAATTCCTGCCCACTTTCTGGGAGCTCTGGCTTTGGCAAAGGTCTTATTCTTGCCCAGTGGAATTGGCACAAGCTTTCCACCACGGTCTCACATGCCACATGGGGAAGAGAGGAAAAGGGACCAGGAGCTGTAACTGTTTTCTGAGCTGCTACTTAGGGGCCCTGTTATATTTAATCCGTTTCTATCCCCTGTTCTCAGCGTCTCTAGCATGCAGGTTCTAGGGATTGGACTCAGGGTTGGCAGTAAGTGTTCTTACCCACTGAGTGGTGTCGGAAGCCCCTTGCTTTCTTTTCTGAACTCTTTTACCCCTTCCCACTTCTACCTCTTCTTCAGATATTGACCCAAACCCCCGAGCCTGCCTGCTTTCTCTACTTCTGACTTCAAAGGCAATGCCTTTCTCTTTCCGTCTCCCTTCACAGCTGTCAAGATTTACAGTCTACCTCTCTTCTCATCCTTCAGCCTCCAACAAGTATTCTTTGAACCTCTTCAGTCTGTCTTCAAATTTCTAGCAATACTAAGAACATGTACAAGGGAAGCCTGATTCCCCAACAACATATACCATCCAGACACCTAATTCTACAGCACTCTTTACAACCAAACATATTAACGCTTAGCAATTTATTGTAAAACCAAAATCACCCCATCTTAGCACAGATAAAACATAGTCATTGTAATGGTCTGTCCTGTCCCTTTAAAAGACAAGCCCTGCCCACTTCCTCCCTTGTCAGGACCAAGGCAGGTGGATCTTCCCTCTGCTTCCAGTCCGAGAGTCCCTTTTTGTCTCTCTCCTAAAGAGGTAGCTGCTGCCATGGCTCCTCCATGCCCCTCTGGTTCTCTTTTTCTCTCTCTGGTGCTTGTGACTTGGCAGGTTCTCCATGTTCCTTCCTGCCCATGGCTGAGGGCACATGGCTAGGGAACCAGGTTTCTTTACAACACCTCTGTGTTCTATCTGCCTGAACACTGACCTCTACGCACACCAGCAGCTTCGGTGGTGAGTTTTCCCCTTCCATCTCCCGACCACAGCCTCCACAGCTAAGGTTGAGCCCTTCACTGACATTCATCTCTGGTTGCTTCCCATAGCTAAACACTTGACCAGACAACCCAGGGTTGGTCCTTCCGTGCTAGCACTGCACACACTGTGTGGCGCATTCGATTTGGGGTCCCAGAGAGTCCCTCAAATTTTTCTTTCTCCTTTCTTTTTCTTTTCTTTTCTCTTCTTTTCGACCATTCGTAAGTGGTCCCCAGCATAAGAGACCACTTGGAGCAGCCTCTAGCCTCTCTGGCTTCCTAGTCAGAAGATGACTGGATGGGAGCCAGTCAGGCTTTAACACCCTGCATGTAGAGAGAGGATGCTCTTCCGCAGGCCCTGTGGTATTTCATGGGTTTTCAGCTATGGTATAAACCCTCAAACTATCAGTCACCCACCTGTAAATGCTTCACTGGTGTCCCGCCAGCTCTGCTTTTTCTCAAACTGTCCTTGCCAATGCTACTGCTGCCGACAAGATTGGTCGGATCCACGAGGCAGCTGTTTTCAATTCCAGCCTTTGCTCCCTGCGGCGGCTTGTGGCATGGCAGCTGGGCAACAGAGCAGATCACGCCGTTAGGTCTCTCTTGTTAAAACTCCCATGGCTAAAAACATGTGGCTTTCCCATACAACATGTGAGTGCCACCATTTTGACTGAGGTCATGTGACCTTACCGTCATTTTAACTGAGGTCAGGTGACTTCACCATCATCTTAACTGAGAGCTTTTGTACCCCACTGGGTGCCTTAGAAACCATAGCAGGCTAGAATCCACAGCCAAGAGAACTGAAGGTGGATATCCACGGACAGACAAAAGCAACAGGAGGCAGAGCAGGTTGGGCTGAAAGAGCTAAAGCCTGAAGACATATAACTAACTGGCTTTGACAGAAGAGACGTTCGAAAGAGACACTTGGCTATTCAACCATTAAGACAGTGCTCCCCAATAAAACAGTGGGCTCCAAAGAAATTGGAGTTGTCTTGGGAATCTCACCCTGGAGATAAACACAGATGGAACCTGCTTGTCTCTGGGAGAGAATGACAGTTTGCCGTCAGCCTGTGGGACTGTGATGTGGGAGTGTCATATATCAATCTGTTGATTTCATTGGTTAAGCAATAAAGTAACTGCTTGGCCCTGTGGGTGGAGTAAACAGAACAAATGCTGGGAGGAAGAGGAAGTGAGGTCAGACTCCACAGCTCTCCTCTCGGGAGCAGACGCCAGAGAGAGACACCATGCCCCGCTCCCGGGCAGACACACGCCATGAAGCTCCGACCCAGGATGGACTAGGCTTGAATCTTCCTGGTAAGACCGGTTCTCACAGATTATTAGAGATGGGTTGATCGGGATATCAGAATTAGCCAGTAAGGGCTAGAGCTAAAAGGCCAAGCAGTGTTTAAATGAATACAGTTTGAGTGTTGTTATTTTGGGGCATAAGCTAGCCAGGCGGCTGGGGTGCCAGGGACGCAGCCCCCCGCCACTCTTATTACTACAGGACTGGAGCTCAGACCATGGCAGACAGGCCAACAGAGGATCTGTTTAGATTTGTACATCTCTTGTCTTCCAGTTACACCTTCCCTCACATGACTCCCAAGATGAAGTAGGGCAGTCACCGGATCCCTTTGCCCCTCTTTCCAGAGTGTCCTCATCAAATGAACCTCTTTTCTCTGTTTTTCACTATCAGTTTGACTCCTTTATCTGGTGTATTGAGGATGAATGGTGAGCCCAGCATTTCAGGGTTGCCAGGGCACAGGCTCACCCAATGTTTTAGGGATGCCAGGGCTATGACCCTAACTCCTATAACAGTTTTGGCGAGTCACCCAGGAGCTGGTGAAAAGGGTGTCTGTCACTCACAACAAGTTAAATCTGGAAGAAAAGATGGGATTGTTGCAGCAGTTGCTGGGGTCATCTTATTTCAGAACACTTCCCTACCCCCTCCCCACTTCAGCCAGCATTTTCTCCTGTTTGGTGAAACAGAACAGGGGTATTTGGACTCTGAATTCTGGAGAACGTCTAATCTTTGGTATGTCTCTCCCCATCAGAGCACTTCCAAATTCACCTTTGGTTTTATTGGAGGGGGCAGGGAGCAGAGAGGTTCTTATTAGCTGTTAGGGCTCTTTTTGAACCATATTGGTCACTACCATTTGGTGACTGGCTTTCATTTGGGGGGGGGGTACTGTTGAACTGTCTGGCTATCTCTTCCTCTGCAGATAGGCCTTGTCAGTTTGGAAGTTCCTTTGAGCTAATCTGTAGCTCCATTTAGCTCTCTTGGGCTCTGTTCAGCCATCAGGTTCTGGACAACCGTTTTGAGGTTTAGAAACAAGGCTATGGAGGTGATACCTACCACCCAGTGAAAAAATATGAAGTCCTTCCTGTCTCAGAGTCCACGGGCTCTCAAGGGCTGTGTGCAGCTGCATTGCACTGCAGAGGGCCCAAAGTGGGCCAGGTGAGTTTTCCACGCTGCCGGCCACACCCGTGTCAATCTAAAGACGTCCATCTCCCCCCTCCTTAGTCATTTAACTCGAGCCACCTGCTCTTTTCTTAGTGAGCCATTATGACTATGAAAGAGCATCTCCCTAGCCAGGGCTTGTTTTATGGGGGAAAACCAGGGATGCTTCCTAGAGAGTAAGACACTAACCACACACCGCATAATGCCACGCTAGTCAAACACCACATCTATGACAGGAATCCTATCCAATTACAATGGTTGAGAAAACCTCTGAGTGACTCATCCGTCAGGTGCAGCAGATCACAAGGGGTTTGGGTGTGTATGGTGATGTGGGCAAACCTACTGCATGGCCTGTTGTAGTCAGTGTTCTGTTGCTGCAAAGAGACACCATTGTAACAGGAGGAGCTGGCTGCTTGTCATCCCAGCTAGCTTACACCCGAAATAATCACACAGAAATTGTGCTAATTAAATCACTGCCTGGCCCATTATCTCTAGCCTCTTATTGGCTAACTCTCACATCTTGATTTACCCCATTTCTAATAATCTTTATGTCACCATGAGGTCTTGGCTTACCAGGAAATATTCAACATTTCTCACCTGGCAACTCCATAGTAGGAAAAGGGTATAGAGAGTCATAAAATAAAGTTAATGCTTAAAAAAAAAAAGGGTAAAGTCTTTAAAGAGACAGACAGTACAAGGAGAGATGGCTCAGCAGTTAAGAGCACTGACTGGCTTTCCAGAGGTTCTGAGTTCAGTTCCCAACAACCACATGGTGGCTCTCCATCTGCTCTTCTTCCCAGCATTCAGTTCTGTCTACTCCGCCTACCTAAGTGCTGCCCTATCAAAAGGCCAAGACAGTTTCTTTATTCAACCAATGAAAGCCACACATAGACAGAAGAACCTCCTACACCACACTATGACCACAAAGCGCTCACTAAGGAAAGCATTTGATTGGGACTGGCTTACAGTTTTAGAGGCTCAGTCCATTCTCATTGTGGTGGGACATGGCTGCAGGCAGGCAAACATGCTGGAGAGGGAGCTGGAAATTTTACACCTTGATCCATAGGCAGCAAAAGCAAACTGTGTTGCTGGGTGTAGCTTGAGCATAGGAGAAGTCACAAAGCCCAGCCCCACAGTGACACATATCCTCCCACAAGGCCACACCTACTTCAACAAAGCCACACCTACTCCACCAAGACCACACCCACCCCAGTAAGACCACACCCACTCCAACAAGGCCACACCTACTCCAACAAGACCACAGCTCCTCATAGTGCCATTCTCTATGGGGCCATTTTTCTTTTAAACCACCACATAGCCCTGTGTATCTATCTACATCGTTAGTCCTACATTTAAGCAAAGGGTAAGAACACCGTTTACTATGTATCTCATGGTTTATTGTGTAGGACTAGATAAGGGTCTTAAGTGACTATTACCATTGTTTCACTGTGCCCTCCAATTTAATGAGGTTTTGTTAATCCCATCAATCGAGAATAAGATCACTAGCACAGTATAAAGCCAAATTTTAAGCAAGCTTTAACTAAACACCGGCCAGGTGAATGGGTTCTGGCCAGGTCCATACCCAGGATCCAGGGAAATGGGCCAGAATCCCAGCTTGCAGTGACTTAAGAAGGGTTAAGATTAGGGTTACAAACCTCTTCATTCATTGCATTTCCCATCAGGTCCAATCAGGGGCAAGCAGACATCCTGGCGTACCTTAGCCTGTAAACCTCCGGCCCCCATGTGATCAAGCACAGCAGTTGTTAAGGGGAACAAAACATAGGTGACTTGTTATCGTCCATAAACAACAGCCTCCAGCTTTTCAGGAACTGTCTGTCCTCGGGCAAGGGACTTGCAGATCAGAGGCGGGTTTTTTTTTTTTTTTTTTTGTTTTGTTTCATGGATCTCTTAGGCAACCTCTTTAAAACTTAAAATGCAGCTTTGGCTCTCACAGTTTCCTGTGAACAGCGGGCAGCAGTACTCCTCCCATGTGTCATGTTCAAGGCTTCCCTTGCTTCTTCAACATGCCACATGCAGGTATTGTTCCACAGCTCTCCAGCTTGCATGAGGACATTGCAGCAGGTCACCAGGAGCAAACTGGCTATCAGTGAATGGCAGATATGGCCCTGGTAATGTATAATATAACACACTGCGGGACTAACCAATGCAGACAAGGACTGTCATGATTATATAGAATTGTTTATAATGGAATGTCATTGAAATGGCTTCTTTGGAGAAAGCACTGAGTGTTCGTGTCTCTGTTCCAAAAGACCTGGTAAGAGTGTTCTGGAGTTCACAGATTGCCTGAGGTCTCCTCTTCTACAGACCTTTGCAATAACAGATCAATTATACTTTTTGGGGGGAGGTTTCAAGACAGGGTGTCACTGTGTAGTCTTGGCTTCCCTAGAACTCACTCTGTAGACCAGGCTGGCGTTGAACTCAGGGAATCGCCTGCCTCTGTCTTATGAGTACTGGGATTAAAGGAGTGTGCCATTAGCACACAGCAATTTTACTTATTTTTTTACTTGGGGTTGAGAGGGTGGAGGTCAGGTTCACGTACACTGCTAAGAAAGAATTATTCCGTTGATCTGACTA